TCCAAAGCATCCATTTTCTCCAGGGGAACTGATCTCTGTCATCTGGAGATCAATTGTAGCAGTGGGAGATCTCCAGGTCCCACCTGGAGATTGGCAACCCTAGGGGGAAGTCAGCTGCACAGCAGGGGTTTGAAGAGAATGGTTTGATGGCTGCTGGGCCAAGATTGGCAACAATAGTTCCCCAGGAGCCCCATCGTAAATGCACCAAACAATTCCTCAAGATTTTCCAAAACACTTCTCTGTTTTGGGCTCCTGGGGAACTTTGAAGTAGCACCAAAGCTTTAAGATCTCTCCAGCTGTCACCTGGAGACTGGCAACAGCTTGTCTGGAGTGTGGGCAGCATGGCATTGTATCTATCTGAGGTCCCCCTCTTCCTCCTCCTCCTCAAATCCCACCCTCAGCAGGCTTCATCCCTAAAATATCCTGGAAGTTTCCAACCTGGAGTTGGCAACCCTATCTGCCTGTCTGTCTTAAGTTTTACAACCCCCCCCCCACACACACACACACAGCCTCTGCCTAGGGAGCAGCTGACATCATTCTCCTCTCCCAACTGAAAATTCCAACTGCCTTGGGGGGGGGTGAGTTTCAGGTGTGGAATGGAGTGTAGTCCAATCAGCTTCCATATGTAAATGACCTTGGAACGCTGGCCGGGACTGCACAAAGCAGCCAATGAACCCAGCCAGTGTCTTCCGAGTGGCAGTTTTTTCGGCCTAACACTAAAGGAGTGCATTTTAGAACTTTGGCACCCAAAACTCTTTTATTATAAGGGAGAGATAATGGAACCAAAACAATGTCCCCTTTTCTGTTCCCGGTAGCCACCCCTTCTAAACACCCAACTTCAGGGAACAGAAAATAACATATATTCCTTGTTGTCTACATCCCACAGCATGGAGGCAGTTGGTCTTACTGATCTGCTGTTCCGTGGGAAGGTACTCTATAGAACCTTCTGTGATACATTAGGTACTTCAATGTGCTGCAATTATGTCATAAAGATACAGTCACTGGACGCTGACCCAAACCCAATTCAGGCATCAGGCTGCATGTTTGGTGTAGTGGTTAAGTGTGCGGACTCTAATCTGGGAGAACCAGGTTTGATTCCCCACTCCTCCACTTGCACCTGCTGATGTGACCTTGGGTCAGTCACAAGCTCTGGCACAGCTGTCCTTGAAAAAGAGCCATTTGTGTCAGAGTTCTCTCAGCCCCACCCACCTCACAGGGTGTCTGTTGTGGGGAGGGGAAGGGGAAGGCGTTTGTAAGCCGCTCTGAGACTCCGAGTGAAGGGCGGGGTATAAATCCAATCTCTTCTTCGTCTTCTTCTTCATCATGTGATTGACAGGCACACAGATGAGCCACTGTCCCCTTATCTTACAGTTGGCTCAGATGTCCCAACCCTAACAGATGATTTGATGATGTAACGTTTGTTTACCTACAAATAACTCATAGCTTATTGCTAACGATGCCAGATCGGGGCAGCCTCAGCCCACTTCTCCATTGCAGAAGCGAAACTCATCATTTTGCTTCCCAGGCAATCAGGGTCACATCAAGGTGTGGGCATCAAAGTAGAAAGGTGACAACAGACCTGTGGGCCTGGAGGGATTTCCCCCAGAAGCCCTGCAGCCGAACTGCCAACGCAGACCTGAACCTGCCCGACTGCTAAGAGTTCCTCGGTGCGTTGTTATTTTGTAGTTACTCTAAACTTGTAATTGTTCCACTCGATGATGGGACCAGGTCATTCAGAAAAAATGGATCAATTACTCTTTGTCTTGCTGGGGGGAAATGTGCATATTACAAATAAGGCAGCTACCTTTTTAATAATGTTGCCCTTGCGACTAGGTCCTGGACGCGGAAAGGATTTTGTCAACATACGTGGAAGTGGAGAGTGCCACACATTTGCAGCCGAAAACCTCGTGGGGTTTCCAAGGCAAGAGATGTTTTGAAGTGACTTGCCTTTGCCTTCCTCTGCACAGAGACCCTGGACTTCCTTGGCAGACTCCCGCCCAAGTACTAACCGGGACTGATCCTGCTCAGCTTCTGAAATCTGACTCGCCCAGGCCATCCAGGTCAGGGCAACGGAACATATGCAAATGCTATAATTTGTTTTAATGGCTGTCTTTAATGGCTGTGTTACTGAATCAAGATCTGCGGATGGTATAATAAATCTGGCTGATCGATAATCTCCTGAGACGGAATGAGTCATTACCAGACACAGGGCCTTTGCTGCTGGGAGCGTTTTGTCTACGGGACTTTCCTTCTCTTGTGAGCTTCAGACGAAGATGTTCTTGTTTACCAGGACTGTTAGCAACTGGGCTGATTTTTTTTTTTGCCCCACTTTGCTCTCTTCCGGCTTCCCTGCATTGGTTTTAATATTATGATTCTTTTCTTACTGTTACATTGGATGGACATCATTTAGAAGAAGAAGAAGAAGAAAAGATTGGATTTATACCCCGCCCTTCACTTGGAGTCTCAGAGCGGCTTACAAACACCTTTCCCTTCCCCTCCCCACAACAGACACCCTGTGAGGTGGGTGGGGCTGAGAGAGCTCTTGACAGAAAATGCTCTTTTTCAAGAACAGCTGTGCCAGAACTATGGCTTGCCCAAGGTCACATCAGCAGGTGCAAGTGGAGGAGTGGGGAATCAAACCCAGTTCTCCCAGATTAGAGCCCGCACACTTAATCACGACACCAAACTGGCTCTCAATTACTGGCTTTTTAAATCAAATCTCAATGGGTTTTTATTGTCTGTCATAAGGCGGCGCAGACAAAAGCAAAAACAATAATAGAAGAATTGGGACAACACAGTTGTCAAAATCCGGATTTTCGGGGAAAAACAACCCAGGTTCAAATGCATGTGGAGTTTTAATTCCAACGTAACCACGAAGGTACATACTCTGCTTCCTCCTTCCTGCGCCCTGCCTCCCCCATCCCGTCCTTCTTCATCCAGGCAGGGCCAAACAACAGCAGACCAAATTACAGTCTAGTGGCACTTTTGAGATGAACAAGGGTTTATTCAAGGTATGAGCTTCCATGTGCAAGGCACACTTTTTCAAGTACACTGGAATTGAAGGTAAAGAGTTCAAGCATATAAACAAGAGGTGTGCATGCACACAAAAGCTCACACTTTGAATAAACCTTTGTTGGTCTTAAAGGTGCCACTGGATTCCAAATGGACACATACCAGGATATCCCAAATGTTTTGTATTGATTAAGAAGAAGAAGAGATTGGATTTATAGCCCGCCCTTCACTCGGAATCTCAGAGTGGCTTACAAACTCCTTTCCCTTCCCCTCCCCACAACAGACACCCTCTGAGGTAGGTGGGGCTGAGAGAGCTCTTTCCAGAACTCTCCTTGAGAGCACAGCTCTGGCAGAACTATGGCTTGCCCGAGGTCATCCAGCAGCTGCAAGTGGAGGAGTGGGGAATCAAACCCGGTTCCCTGAGATTAGAGAAGAAGAGAAGAGATTGGATTTATACCCCGCCCTTCACTACCCAAAGGAGTCTCAGAGCGGCTTACAAACTCCTTTCCCTTCCCCTCCCCACAACAGACACCCTGTGAGGTAGGTGCGGCTGAGAGAGCTCTGACAGAAACTGCTCTTTTTCAAGAACAGCTGTGCCAGAACTATGGCTTGCCCAAGGTCATCCAGCAGCTGCTAGTGGAGGAGTGGGGAATCAAACCCGGTTCTCCCAGATTAGGGTCTGCGCACTTAAACAGTACACCAAACTGAGGAGAAGGGTGAATGTGCATCCTTCAGTACTGTGTTCTAAACCTCAGACAGCTGTAAGACCCTTGTCGGCTTTGCTGAAGCAAATAAAGAAGCAATCCGCACTTTCGTCCTAGAGGAAGGATGCCTGAGGTTTGTCTATTTAGCACACTTTTTATTGAGCCCTTCCTCTAACAAGCTTGCAGGGGTATCATTCTCTCCTTCTCCGCTTCATCCTCATAGCAGCCCTGTGAGCAGGACGGCGAGTCCTGTGGTCAGGGCAGGGAAAGCCCAGCCCCCAGGTCCTGCTGCCCAGAAAGGAGAAGGAAACGTTGGCAGCATTGCCTGTCATCATTACTGTGGCTAGGTGGGATACAAATTGAAATCATAAATAAAAAAAACATAAAAAATAAATTACATCACTTCTGCGGGAAAACCAAGAAGTGACAGAGGGTCACTCTAGGAATCTAGATAATAAAAGAATTGGGAGAAGGCAGTTTTCAGAATCCAGATTTTCAAAAAACAAAAGTCTCAGATTCAAACACACGTGGATCCGAATATAACCAGAGAAGTTCGTGGCTCCACTTCCTCCTTCCTGCACCCCGTCTCCCCCATTCCGTCCTTCTTCATCCAGGCAGGGCAGCTCTAGGAATCCAGAGCGGCCCGGTTTCCCCGGAGATAACATAATGACACACACAATGTCAGACACACACACCCCACGTCCTTGCCCCAAATGTCTTCCCAGTTACAAAACCTGGCAACTCTACCTGCAACGTTAATTACAAAAGAGAGCGAAGAGAGATATCACCCAGCAACCTTCATGGCCGAGTGGGGATCTGAACCTGGGTCTTCCAGATCCTAGGAAACCAGAGCAGGGAAAAGGGGCAAGATATCTCTCACCCTTTTCCTGTGTCCCTGATCCAGCTCGGAGATTCTACAATCACTATTTACCCATAAAAATGCATGGCAGATCCATTCAGCAACTCATCAAGCTTGGCCCTCTCTCATGTATCTTGTGATCCTACCCTTGCTTTTGGACACTGCTTTTTATGATTTCCGGCCCTAGGCCATCCTTACCGTAAGTTGCAGCTGCTCCAGTGCACAGCAGGGTACGTGAGCCTCATTCTGTGTACTGCATTCCGTAGACGTCAGGGTGCCAGAGACATCCAGTGGACCCAGCGGGAAACTGAACTGTGTATTTGAAGTGTTCAGTGAGGATCGCAGCGGAGCAGAGGACACGACGGGACGCAGCAGGCGAGCTCTGGACTCCTCTAACCCCTGAAGAGTGAGAGAAGCCAGGGCGGCTTCCTTCAGGAATGGGTTCTCCAACCAGAGAGGATTCGGTTTAGAGGAAGGAAAATACGACAAAGATGTCTTGGCCTCGGCTGCGGAAAGCAGAGCCTGGAAAAGAAAGAATAAGTGAGAGGTTACTGGCAGCAATACTTTTGCAGAATCCAGGAGCCCACTTAAGTCCTACCACATTCCATTATGCCTAAGCCCCACGACGTTTAATTTCCTTCAAGTCTTTGTATTCTGCATTGAGGCCTTCGCGGGCCTCCTAGATGGAGCACAGTTATTTTTTAAAAAGTGATTCCCTATATGGAAAACAACAACTAAAAATTGATATAATTATACAAATCTATGAACCCATAAAGATTAAGACCAAAGACACACACACACATGGAAAAAACAGGGGAGACTATTAATTGATCAAGCATTGCTATAGACTTCAGTGATTTTCTTTTTTTAAAAAGCCAGTTTTTGCAGTGGTTAAGTGCGCGGACTCTAATCTGGGAGAACCGGGTTTGATTCCCCACTCCTCCACTTGCACCTGGCTGGATGACCTTGGACAAGCCGTAGCTCTGATAAGAGCTGTTCTTGAAAAAGAGCAGTTTCTGTCAGAGCTCTCTCAGCCCCATCTACCTCACAGGGTGTCTGTTGTGGGGAGGGGAAGGGAAAGGAGTTTGTAAGCCGCTCTGGGACACCTTTGGGTAGTGAAGGGCAGGGTATGAATCTAATCTCTTCTTCTTCTTCTTAAAAACCCTCATGACTATTTATTTCATTTTGGAAAATGTATATGCCATTCTTCCATTCCTAAATGCCCAAAACAGGAATACCAAAAACAGAAATCAAAACTCTGAAAAACAGAGTCTAAAGAATGTAGTCCACAGGTCTAAATCATCAAAACGCTTCCAAAGGCCTTCTGGAATTGGTAACGGACATCAAGTTACAGGTGCCTGGGAAAACTCCTCTCTGCCAAAGACCCTGGAAAACCAACACCCATCAGAGCAGACAATACTGAGCCAGACTTGGTATAAAGCAGTTTTTACACTTCCAACAGTGACGGACAAAGTACATTTGGTGCTTCTGTAAAGATAATTCAAGAAGACAGAATTAGGTGGGTAGCCGTGTTGGTCTGAAGCAACAAAAAAAGGTTGAGTCCAGCGGCACCTTTAAGGTCAACAAAATTTAATTCTGGGTATAAGCTTCCATGTGCATGTACCCTTCTTCAGTAAGTACACCTTACTTCTGTACTATACACAAGCATGTTAACAACAGGAATACGTAAGTTTGTTCTCTCCCCACAATTAGGAAGACATACAGGGATAACCCAGATTTCATCACGGCTTCGCTCCCTTACACCAGAGGTAGCCAGTCATACTCTCTGTGGCACAGACAGGAATTCTGGGAAGAGCACACCCTTCTTCCTGTAATATGCACTCGTACACAGAAGCAGCGAGACCTCACTCTGTGCGAATGGTACAGGAAGATGTTAAGGGTTTCTAAGTGCATTTGTTAAGCTGAAATAAGATGGCTGCACAGACCAGGGCTGTGACACCAAAATTCCAGGATGGAACCCTCACCATGGATTTGCTTTGCTTTGAGCCACGTTCTGGTATCGTTTTCTCCTCAGGAATGTCACCATCCTCTGTCGTTTCTCTCTGGACACGATCTGCTTTCCAGAGGCCGACTTCACACACAGAATCGATGGCATCTGCCGCACCCACAACAGTCTCCTGAGACACAGAGATAATCAATTAAGCAAAGCTTGGCTTGAATTACACCTGGGCTGAGCCATTTACCCTCTCAGCTCCCCAAATGGCTGTTTTATGATCAGGTGTGGCTCACTTACAAAAGCACTCTCCCAAAGCAATATTTCCCAAGATTCCTTAGAGAAAGGGAAACAAGGCCAGGTGACTAAACCTATCATGGGTCATACAGACATCTGCATTAGTCACTCTGTATCAGGGCTTAAAAAAAAAAAAGCACTGTTAAGCACAGGCTCAGCTTTACCTGCTCAGGGACCCAGCTGGGGCACCTGAAATCCAAGACGCTCAGAGCAGAAGGTTTTGACAGGTGGTCCAATGTGGCCTGGCTCTTGGTGTTGGGAGGTTTCACTGAAGCGAGCCACGCAGCAGAAGGAGTAACGGGCTGCAAGAGACGGGCCCGAGACTCCCCCAGACTTTGGAGAGTGAACGAAGGGGGAGACGAGGCATGAAGGAAGGGGTTCTCCACGCAAAGGGAGCCAGCGCGGCCCACAGCAGAGGAATCCATAGAGCTTACAGGATCCACAACCAGATGCTCAGACACCTGCAGGAAAGCAGTAGATAAAACACAGGTGATTGTACCTCATGTTTACAGGCAATAGTTGCAGGCAGTGGCACCTTCTGTTCTAGAACAGAGGATGTTGAGAAAGTTGTGTGCAACTCAGCTGTTTACAGATCCATATTTAATTTAAACCAACTGTTTACAGATCCATATTTATCATACTTATGGGATCACAGTGGCCCTTGGTGCTTTTATCTATTAGACACTTCTAGGTTTAAAATGTTCCTTGATAGGTCTGTGGGAATGCCCCCTCCCAGGATTGTAGCCAGAAATGCTGTAGGCCAGGCAGGAAGGAAGCAGAGGTCCATCAGTGGCTATTAGCCACAAGGTAAGTGATGCTCTGTCTTCTTGGTGCTTGGGGGGGCCAACAATGGAAGGGCTTCTAATGTCCTGGCCCCACTGGTGGACCTCCTGATGGCACTTGGTATTTTTGGCCACTGTGTGACAGAGTGTTGGACTAGATGGGCCTTTGGCCTGATCCAACATTGGCATCTCTTATGTTCTTATGTTCAGAGGTCGCTGGGAAGAAGAAGAGGAGATTGGATATACACCCTGCCCTTCACTCAGAGTCTCAGAGTAGTTTACAATCTCCTTCCCCTCCACACAACAAACACCCTGTGAAGTAGGTGGGGCTGAGAGAGCTCTTTCGAGGACTGCCCTTAAGAGCTCTGAAAGAATTTGTGACTGACCCAAGGTCACGCGCCAGTGGCTGCATGTGAAGGAGCGGGGAATCAAACCCAGTTCTCCCAGATTAGAGTCCGCACTCCTAACCACTACGCCAAACTGGGAAACAGCCAATATCTGAATATGTTTGATGTATTTATTTATTTGATTTATATACCACCCTCCCCGCCAGCGAGCCCAGGTCCAGTGAGCACTGAGCATTCTTACCGGTCACCAGAAGCCAAAGAAATTTGAGGGCAGTTAAAAGCCAGCTAGCAGACAAAAAGGAAAAAAGGGGAAAGGGGAAATTATGCCAATAACATCCGTCTTCACATCTCCACTTCCATCTCTCATAAAACAAAGAGCCAGCCCTGGGTTTCTCCCAATCAAATGGAGTAGGAGGTGTTTCAGAAGACCCCAGGAGGCACTACCTTTAGGTTTGCATGGAGAACTCATTTGGAAACACCTGTCTTCACTGTAGACAGCTTGGCATGGAACCTGCCAATGCTTCTGACTGGGCCCCAGCCCTCGTGGCAGCCATTTTGTGGCTGGCTGTGCTCACCATGGCAGCCATTTTGTGTTGTGTCACCCACTTGGTTCTCAAAATCCCACATGCTCACAGGCTCAACCAACTTTGGGCCCTTAGTTTATAGCATCCTCAAGAGGAAGAATTAGGGTTGCCATGACGCGTACATCCCCATTCCCTAGATACTGTATCTACTTCCTATTCTAGGATGCTGTATGTTTTGAAAACTCTCCCACACAGCACTGTAAGAAAGAGACAGCAAATCCTCCATGTTCTATCTCAGTAGCCTAGTTCAGTGATGGCGAACCTTTTAGAGACCAAGTACCCAAACTGCGACCCAAAACCCACTTATTTGTCGCAAAGTGCCAACACGGCAATTTAACCTGAATACTGAGGTTGTAGTTTAGAAAAAACAACTCATACATTAACTTAAGATTATCCAAACAAAGTAAGGAAAGCAATCCCAAATGCTTTCATTTACTTAAAATTATTTGGCAGAGAGAATTTAATGATGGTCTGGGCCTGGCTGCGGCGATGGCACGCGTGCCCACAGAGAGGGCTCTGAGTGCCACCTCTGGCACCCGTGCCATAGATTCGCCACCACTGGCCTAGTTCATACATGCAAGAAAATGAGGCAGCAAAATCCTGAGGTGGCAGGATGGATTGCCCTACTTGAAAGCTTTTACCATTTCTTCATGTAATACATATCGTGCAAACAGAAAACTAGCTTCTGCCACCTCATTTTGCTTCCTCTGTTGTTTTAATTTTCCCCCAATGAATTTTAATGGGTTTCATTGGGTACACAAATATGTTTGTCAAGTATGAACCATACAGGGTTTGCCTACCCATGCACAGAAAATGGTAACTAAAAAGATCAATGGGTTGAGGTACCTTGACTATGAGGAGAAGAAAAAGAATTTGGGGCTTTTCAGTTTAAGGGGTGGGGGGAAGAGAACTCAAACATGACTTGAAGGGTTGTCAGTCCTGGGACAGCAAATTCCTAGAGATTTGGGAGTGGAGAAAAGAAGGTTTTGGGAGGGGGGGGACCTCATGAAGTCCACCCTTCAAAGCAGCCATTTTCTCCATGAGAACTGATCACTGTCGTCTGGAGATGGCTGTCATACTGGGAGGTCTCCAGGCCCCACCTGGGGGTTGGCAGCCCTAGCATATAAAGCTGTATAAAATGATGTCTGTGGTGTGGGGCCTTCCTTCAGCAACAGTTACAGGCCATTCTATCACCTCAGGTTTCTGATGCCACATCAGTTTTCTGGATGTGTGAACCAAGCCTCAGGGTTCAGAGCTAAAGCGAGCAACTCCCTGCAGGTTTGCTCCAAAGGTGAAAACAAAAACAAAAAAACCCCCAACCCCTCACATTAATGTACAAAGCAAGATTAAATTCCCCTTACTGCTTACAACTAAACACCCAGTGCCTTACATGGGCCCAACTTGACCTTGTTTACAAGTTTACTTCTAAAAACATGAATCAAAACAGTTCAGAGAATGGGACAGAAGGTTCTGGAAGACTCTAGGCCCTGCCTGGCAGGCTTCCGGCCTGTGTTGAGATCCCACATCTAGAAAAGCAAACATGTTTCTCTCATGGTCTGGCTGCTTCCTGGGTCACACGGCCTTGTACAACCTCTCCATGTTCAGTTTGGGTGTTCTTTATAACCCCTGATCAGCGTCCCTGCTTAATTTGTGATTGTTGCCTCTAAGGCGTGTCGGGACCCTCCCTTACATGTTCACATTGCATTGTGGTGAGGTGTCCACCATGGAGGCCTGCGTCACCTCCCTCCCTCAGCCCGACCAAAGCAGTTACTTGGAATACCGGATGCTGGTTCAATGGAAATAGCATTTATTTATAAACAAATGCATTTATTCATTTATAAATACATCTAGTACATTTAATCCAAGAAAGTGGGTAATGACAGGGAGGATGAAAGAGTACCTCGATAGCAACCCTTTACTGTCAATAGCTAGCTGTACTTAATTTCAATAGGGAGATGCAACGGGGTGCACTGCTTTCTAGCAATTTAATACATTATCATGTGTATTTAATATACTATCATGTTAATACATGATCATGGTGCTGGTTTTTAGCTTCAGTTTGCATTGTTTCATTCCTTATTTATTATTTGCATACCACCCCAGGGACTCTCATTATAGCAACTACCCAAACTAATAAGGGGCAGAGTGTGGCACTAACAAGAAGGGTTCACTGCAAACTGGGGAACTTCTGCTCTACACCTTGGGTTGCCCACAGGCCAGGAAATAAGTCTCCTGTCCCTTTAAGAGGTTCCTAATATCTGAAAACAGAAAGCTGGCATGGAGATCAGTAACATCATGAGTTGGCAAATAAAATCAAATTAACTTTCTATTGAGAGGATGGAATTTCCCCCCTCCTCCAGGCGGTTACAATCAAATGTTCCCTCTAAGCTGCGGAGTCTTGTGAGCAAAAATTCTACTTTGTGAGCAATGTTCCCTCTAAGCTGCGGAGTCTTGTGAGCAAAAATTCTACTTTGTGAGCTGCCGGCATCAAAGTTGTGAGCAAGTGATTTGGCTGCTGCACGAATCAGTTTGCTCTGGAGCCCTCCTTCCTGTGCGGAGACAAAAATGTGTGAGCCGGAGGCTAAAAAACTGTGAGCTAGCTCACACTAACTCAGCTTAGAGGGGACACTGTATGTGAGCTCCTGGCATTAAAGTTGTGAGCAAACTGTTTGGCTACTGCATAAATCAGTTTGCTCTGGAGCCCTCCTTCCCGAGCGAAGACAAAAAAATCTGTGAGCTGGAGGCTAAAAAACTGTGAGCCAGCTCACACTAACTCAGCTTAGAGGGAACACTGAATTCATAACTCTGTCTTTAAAGGCTGGGTTCTGTGCGGACATCTGCAAATAAGGACGATTTTGCTTTAGTCTAGGGAAAGGATCCAGCGCTGATGAAGCTACAGTTAATAGCCCACGATAGTGGGCTGTCGAGTTTTTTTGTGTGTGAGTGTGTGCGTGCGTGCGAGTGAGTGTGTTCCACGTGGACAGCATCACACGCCTCACACTAAAGCACTATGAACTTTCTGTCTGACACCAACTCAGAGCCGGGCAAGGAAGGCCGAGTTTCTGAACGGGATTCTCCTTTCGTTCGGGTCGGGACGCCCACTTGCCCTCACCTGATCCCTTCGTTGCAACCAGGAAATGATTTCCCTAACCCAAAGATACTGCAACAGCTGCAACAGCCCGCGCACATTCACTATCACCAATGCTCCCTCTAGGCTGTGGAGTCTTGTGAGCAAAAATTCTACTTTGTGAGCTACTGGCATTAAAGTTCTGAGCAAGTGATTTGGCTACTGCATAAATTAGTGTGCTCTGGAGCCCTTCTTCCTGAGCGAAGTCTAAAATCTGTGAGTCCAAGGCTAAACAACTGTGAGCTAGCTCACACTAACTCAGCTTAGAGGGAACATTGACTATCACCCCTCCTTCCTTCCATAGGCGAGGCCCACCCTAGGCGAGTGATACTCCCGGCACACATCCCTGGGGGGGAAACGATGCTCACCTACATTCGGGTCGGGGGGGGGGGACACGTTACACACAGGGCTCCGGCAATTCCCGGACGCGGAAGCAAAGGGACAGCTGCGGCTTTCAGGCACCGCCCAGAGCTGGGATCTGGCCCAAAGGGGCGGCTCCTCCTGGCTCGCCCGAGGAGGGCTCCAGGAACACCAGCTGATCGCTTTAACCCTTTAAAGCTGCAGGGATCCAGGCGCCCGAGCTCCTTGCTCTGCTCCGAAACCTCTGCAGCGGGGGGAGG